TTGGTACAAGAACGCTGTTCCTCCAGTTGGTCATTAGTACTGCGTCATATTATATGATACAATTTAACGGGGAGCAATGAAGAAGGCAGTCAACTAGACATTGTCACAGTAGTTAATGTCATTCAATTTAGGTTTCTGGGTATAGAAACATGTCACTGGCTTTCATCGGAAAATTAGAACTTGTTACGCTTTTAAAATATGGCTATTTGATATGAGACTATGTCATAAGCGGTGGTTGAGTGTTTTAAGTCAGTGTGTTGGCGCTTGGCGACAACAGCGTAATCTGCTTCCTGGTATAACGCTGAGGACTGTTATAACGCATACAGTGTCACATTAAGGTCGGTTATAACATACAGTGACACATTGAGGACGGCTATAACACATGGTGTCACATTGAGGGCGGTTATAACACATGGTGTCACATTGAGGGCGGTTATAACACATGGTGTCATATTGAGGGCTGTTATAACATGGTGTCACATTGAGGACGGTTATAACACATGGTGCCATATATTGAGGGCTGTTATAACACATGGTGTCACATTGAGAACGGTTTTAACACATGGTGTCATATTGAGGGCTGTTATAACATATGGTGTCACATTGAGGACGGTTATAACACATGGTGCCATATATTGAGGGCTGTTATAACACATGGTGTCACATTGAGAACGGTTTTAACACATGGTGTCATATTGAGGGCTGTTATAACATATGGTGTCACATTGAGGACGGTTATAACACATGGTGCCATATATTGAGGGCTGTTATAACACATGGTGTCACATTGTGGACGGTTATAACACATGGTGTCATATTGAGGGCTGTTATAACATATGGTGTCACATTGAGGACGGTTATAACACATGGTGCCATATATTGAGGGCTGTTATAACACATGGTGTCACATTGAGAACGGTTTTAACACATGGTGTTATATTGAGGACGGTTATAACACATGGTGTCACATTGAGGACGGTTATAACACATTATGTCATATTGTGGACGGTAATAACGCATGGTGTTACATTGAGGACGGTTATAACACACGGTGTCATATTGAGGGTGGTAATAACACATGGTGTCACATTGAGGGTGGTAATTACATATGGTGTCACATTGAGGACGGTTATAACACACGGTGTCACATTAAGGACGGTTATAAAAAATGGTGTCATATTGAGGACGGTTTTTACATGGTGTCATATTGTGGACGGTTATAACACATTGTGTCCCATTGAGGGTGGTAATAACACAAGGTGTCACATTGAGGGCTGTTGTAACACATGGTGTCATATTGAGGGCGGTTATAACACATGGTGTCACATTGAGGGTGGTAATAACACATGGTGTCACATTGAGGACGGTAATCATGCATATGGTACAGCACTGAGGGCTGTTATAACACATGGTGTCACATTGAGGGCTGTAATAACACACGGTGTCACATTGAGGACGGTTATAACACATGGTGTCACATTGAGGACGGTTATAACACATGATGTCACATTGAGGACGGTTATAACACATGGTGTCAAATTGAGGACGGTTATAACACATGATGTCACATTGAGGACGGTTATAACACATGGTGTCACATTGAGGGTGGTAATAACACATGATGTCACATTGAGGGTGGTAATAACACATGGTGTCACATTAAGGACGGTTATAACACATGGTGTCATATTGAGGACGGTTATAACATGGTGTCATATTGTGGACGGTTATAACACATTGTGTCACATTGAGGGTGGTAATAACACACGTTGTCACATTGAGGGCTGTTGTAACACATGGTGTCACATTGAGGAAGGTTAATACACAGGGTGTCTCATTGAGGACGGTTATAACACATGGTGTCACATTGAGGGCGGTTATATCATATGGTGTCACATTGAGGACATTATAACACATGGTGTCATATTTAGGGCTGTTATAACACATGGTGTCACATTGAGGGTGGTAATAACACACGGTGTCATATTGAGGGCTGTTATAACACATGGTGTCACATTGAGGACGGTTATAACACATGGTGTCACACTGAGGGCGGTTATAATACATATGGTACAGCACTGAGGATGGTTATAACACGGTGTCACATTGAGGACGGTAATAACACATGGTGTCAAATTGAGGACGGTTATAACACACGGTGTCACATTGAGGGTGGTAATAACACACGGTGTCACATTGAGGGTGGTAATAACACATGATGTCAAATTGAGGGTGGTAATAACACATGGTGTCAAATTGAGGACGGTTATAACACACGGTGTCACATTGAGGGTGGTAATAACACATGGTGTCAAATTGAGGACGGTTATAACACATGGTGTCACACTGAGGGTGGTAATAACACACGGTGTCACATTGAGGGTGGTAATAACACACGGTGTCACATTGAGGGTGGTAATAACACATGGTGTCAAATTGAGGACGGTTATAACACACGGTGTCACATTGAGGGTGGTAATAACACACGGTGTCACATTGAGGGCTGTTGTAACACATGGTGTCACATTGAGGACGGTTATAACACACGGTGTCACATTGAGGGTGGTAATAACACATGGTGTCAAATTGAGGACGGTTATAACACACGGTGTCACATTGAGGGTGGTAATAACACATGGTGTCAAATTGAGGACGGTTATAACACATGGTGTCACACTGAGGGTGGTAATAACACACGGTGTCACATTGAGGGTGGTAATAACACACGGTGTCACATTGAGGGTGGTAATAACACACGGTGTCACATTGAGGGTGGTAATAACACACGGTGTCACATTGAGGGTGGTAATAACACATGGTGTCAAATTGAGGACGGTTATAACACATGGTGTTACATTGAGGACGGTTATAACACATGGTCGCATGGTGTCACATTGAGGACGGTTATAACATGTTCAGCCATATAGCCCTGATTGATCATCTACTGTCACGTTCTGAATCCCAGCATCGCCAGTTCACTTCAGTGATCTTAGGAACAGTATGGATGTAGCCACAAAGGGAAAGTGTAACAGGTTACAGTTCCAGTATAAGTGGACTGATTCACTACAAGCAACATTTCTTTCAAATATCACGCCAGCTTCTACCACTGATATGCTAGAGAATGCAGTTCCACGTTCTCTCTCGGGTGTGTGTGAAGTCGTTTCTCTGTTCACAGGGGCGGTATTCTGTGATCTATAAAAGATCTATACGTGAACGATATAATTAACCCCCATGGTATGTTGACTTGGTAAAGTGTCTTTGTAAAAAACATGAGCGATAATTATGATGACATTTTTTAAGTTGATATTGATAACCGAGCTCGAGGCCTACGGCAATATTAATCCCTCTGCATAAAAAGGCGAGCCTCAGTTGTAGATAATTACAGGGCGATCACTTTGTTGAGTATTCGTAGTGAAGTATTGACTTCCTTTTTAAGTAAGAGACTTGTATTTTGGGAACATGCTCTTGTTAAAATATCAGAATGTCAACCCGACTTTCCAAAGGGGTATTCGACTATGGATAACTGTTTTGTTTTTAAACGTCGTTTTTTATTGACTTTTCAAAGGCCTTTGACACTATACAACTGCCTCTTTTGTGGAATTTTTCTTATAAGCACGGCTTGAGCTAAAAAATGGGGAAGATGTTGCAGTCAAATTAAAATTGTGTCAAGACATGTGTGAAGTCAAATAATAGTATGTCTGGTATGTTGTATTGCTCCTTGGGCGTAAGACAAGGTTGCATGCCAAGCCCTTTCCTATTTCAGTTTTTTATCAATCAGTTGGTTGTAGAAATGGAGACAGAATGTTCCTTTGGTGTTCAGTTACATCCTGATAATGTTCATAGATTATATGTAATGTCTATATGCTATTTTTTACCTGTATGTAGTGCACACTTTGTACATTGCCATATGTATGTACACAAAGGTCTGAGGCCTACACGTACTGAAATGAAATGAAAATATAGGTGTCACATCACGGACGGTTATAACGCATACAGTGTCACATTGAGGGCGGTTATAACACATGGTGTCTCATTGAGGTCAGTTATATCGCATATAGTATGACACTGAGGACGTTTATAACGCATACGATGTAACATTGAGGTCGGTTGTTACGCATGCGGTGTCAAATTGAGGGCGGTTACAGCACATTTTTTGTCTGTTTGTGGATTATCTGTGCATGCATGCAATATTCCATTTATATCACAGCATATTATAAATAATCGAGTCAGACAAACCAGTGGTTGATATAATGAGCAGCACTCAACGCCATCGGGATAGACGTACACGCAATCAAGCAGTCCGTTTGATAGTTTCTTAAACAACTTTTTCCAGTGATGGAAATAATATTAACAAACAGCAGAAATTGTTGGATGCAACAATATCAACTTGACTCTTTATTCTTCAATGTGCATAAATGGAAAAGATCAATATGTGTTTGTATTGAATATATATTTACAGTAGCGAGAATCGAACATCGCTAATCACTGATATCACTGGTGGGGTATAAGCTCGCAGTTCGTTTGGCTGATGAATTGCAAAATAACTGAAAATCATCAATAGTCTATAAATGGCAATACGGTACACGGCAATGAATACCCTGTACCCAACAATATCTGCTGTTTTTTTTTTTCATTCTTGTCACTGGAAAAAGCTGTATCATTAGCTATCATGTTATGTGTATAAGTTGATATCTTGAACATAGGGGGGCACAACGATTACGTTCAGTGTGAAGCTACGGTGGCCCATAAGGGACATGGATTCTGTTTTTCAATATTTTGATGTTTCACTTACTTTTATCGATACCTTTTGCAAATTAACACAATTTTTCATACAAATATGTTATAAATCATGTATAAATACAACCGAAACATGGAAAATGTACTTTCAAGTAGCTATTGAGTCGCTGAAATGTGAAGCGAAAATGTCAAAAACTAATATGAAACCACATATATTTATTATCACGGACGATGCACTATTGCCTGCCAAGTCCCTTATTATCATGGACAATGCAACATTGCCTGCCAAGTCCTTTATTATCATGGACAATGTAACACTGCCTGCCAAGTCCTTTATTATCATGAACAATGCACCATTGCCTTCCAAGTCCTTTATTATCATGGACAATGCAACACTGCCTGCCAAGTCCTTTATTATCATTGACAATGCACTATTGCCTTCCAAGTCCTTTATTATCATGGACAATGCAACACTGCCTGCCAAGTCCCTTATTATTGTGGACAATGCACCATTGCCTGTCAAGTCCTTTATTATCGTGGACAATGCACCATTGCCTGTCAAGTCCTTTATTATCACGGACAATGCACCATTGCCTGCCAAGTCCTTTATTATCACGGACAATGCACCATTGCCTGCCAAGTCCTTTATTATCATGGACGATGCAACACTGCCTGCCAAGTCCTTTATTATCATGGACAATGCACGATTAGGTGCCAAGTCTCTTATTGTCATGGACAATGCACCATGGCCTGTCAAGACCCTTATTATCACGGACAATGCACCATTGCCTGCCTAGCCCCTTATTATCTTGGACAATGCACCATTGCCTTCCAAGTCCCTTATTATCATGGACAATGCACTATTGCCTGCCCAGTCCCTTATTATCATGTACAATGCACCATTGCCTGTCAAGTCCTTTATTATCGTGGACAATGCACCATTGCCTGTCAAGTCCTTTATTATCATGGACAATGCACCATTGCCTGCCCAGTCCATTATTATCAAGGACAATGCACCATTGCCTGTCAAGTCCCTTATTATCATGGACAATGCACCATTGCCTGTCGAGTCCCTTATTATCATGGACAATGCACCAATGCCTGTCAAGTCCCTTATTATCATGGACAATGCACCAATGCCTGTCAAGTCCCTTATTATCACGCACAATGCACCATTGCCTGTCAAGTCCCTTATTATCGTGGACAATGCACCATTGCCTGTCAAGTCCTTTATTATCGTGTACAATGCACCATTGCCTGCCAAGTCCCTTATTATCATGGACAATGCACCACTGCCTGTCAATTCCTTTATTATCGTGGACAATGCACCATTGCCTGTCAAGTCGTTTATTATCACGGACAATGCACCATTGCCTGTCAAGTCGTTTATTATCACGGACAATGCACCATTGCCTGCACAGTCCCTTATTATCGTGGACAATGCACCATTGCCTGCCTAGCCCCTTATTATCACGGACAATGCACCATGGCCTGTCAAGACCCTTATTATCATGGACAATGCACCATTGCCTGCCTAGCCCCTTATTATCACGGACAATGCACCATTGCCTGCACAGTCCTTTATTATCGTGGACAATGCACCATTGCCTGCCTAGCCCCTTATTATCATGGACAATGCACCATGGCCTGCCTAGCCCCTTATTATCATGGACAATGCACCATGGCCTGTCAAGACCCTTATTATCACGGACAATGCACCATTGCCTGCCTAGCCCCTTATTATCTTGGACAATGCACCATTGCCTTCCAAGTCCCTTATTATCACGGACAATGCACCATTGCCTGCCCAGTCCCTTATTATCATGTACAATGCACCATTGCCTGTCAAGTCCTTTATTATCGTGGACAATGCACCATTGCCTGTCAAGTCCTTTATTATCGTGGACAATGCACAATTGCCTGCCCAGTCCATTATTATCAAGGACAATGCACCATTGCCTGTCAAGTCCCTTATTATCATGGACAATGCACCATTGCCTGTCAAGTCCCTTATTATCATGGACAATGCACCAATGCCTGTCAAGTCCCTTATTATCATGGACAATGCACCAATGCCTGTCAAGTCCCTTATTATCACGCACAATGCACCATTGCCTGTCAAGTCCCTTATTATCGTGGACAATGCACCATTGCCTGTCAAGTCCTTTATTATCGTGTACAATGCACCATTGCCTGCCAAGTCCCTTATTATCATGGACAATGCACCATTGCCTGTCAATTCCTTTATTATCGTGGACAATGCACCATTGCCTGTCAAGTCGTTTATTATCACGGACAATGCACCATTGCCTGTCAAGTCGTTTATTATCACGGACAATGCATCATTGCCTGCACAGTCCCTTATTATCGTGGACAATACACCATTACCTGCCTAGCCCCTTATTATCACGGACAATGCACCATGGCCTGTCAAGACCCTTATTATCATGGACAATGCACCATTGCCTGCCTAGCCCCTTATTATCACGGACAATGCACCATTGCCTGCACAGTCCTTTATTATCGTGGACAATGCACCATTGCCTGTCAAGTCCCTTATTATCGTGGACAATGCACCATTGCCTGCCTAGCCCCTTATTATCATGGACAATGCACCATGGCCTGTCAAGACCCTTATTATCATGGACAATGCACCATTGCCTGCCTAGCCCCTTATTATCACGGACAATGCACCATTGCCTGCACAGTCCTTTATTATCGTGGACAATGCACCATTGCCTGTCAAGTCCCTTATTATCGTGGACAATGCACCATTGCCTGCCTAGCCCCTTATTATCACGGACAATGCACCATTACCTGCCGAGTCTTTTATTATCGTGGACAATGCACCATTGCCTGTCAAGTCCCTTATTATCGCGGACAATGCACCATTGCCTGCCTAGCCCCTTATTATCGTGGACAATGCACCATGGCCTGTCAAGTCCCTTATTATCACGGACAATGCACCATTGCCTGCTAGTCCCTTATTATCGTGGACAAGGCACCATTGCCTGTCAAGTCCTTTATTATCGTGGACAATGCACCATTGCCTGTCAAGTCGTTTATTATCACGGACAATGCACCATTGCCTGTCAAGTCCCTTATTATCGTGGACAATGCACCATTGCCTGTCAAGTCCTTTATTATCGTGGACAATGCACCATTGCCTGCCAAGTCCCTTATTTTCATGGATAATGCACCATTAGGTTCGAAGTCTCTTATTATCGTCGACAATGCACCATTAGCTGCCAGGTCCTTTATTATCATGGACAATGCACCAATGCCTGTCAAGTCCCTTATTATCACGCACAATGCACCATTAGGTTCGAAGTATCTTATTATCGTGGACAATTCACCATTAGCTGTCAGGTTCCTTATTATCACGCACAATGCACCATTAGGTGCCAAGTCTCTTATTATCATTGACAATGCACCATTGCCTGCCAAGTCCCTTAATACCATGGACAATGCACCATTAGCTGCCAAGTCCCTTATTATCGTTGACAATGCACCATTGCCTGCCCAGTCCCTTATTATAATGGACAATGCACAATTGCCTGCCCAGTCCCTTATTATCTTGGACAATGTACCATATCACAGAATGCAGGATCCAGACAGTAATACTGGATGTCTAATGGCCTCAAAGGAGACATGGTGACGTGGCTGCAACGGACGAATATTACCTTTCCTTCCAGGGATACAAAATCACAACTCGGTGAACCACCAAATCTAACAAACCTGAGCCAGTGTACATATGTTTGACGATTACATTAAAGGTCAAGGTCACGTCGTCTTACGACTTCCCCCTAACCACTGCGATCGGAACTTAATAGAGTTGATATGGGGTATCGTCAAAGTTGACGTTTTACGTTTGAACAGAACGTTTAACTTGTGGGATGTTGAAAAGCTAGTAAATAAATCCCTTGGTCTGGTAACAGTGGAGACATGGCACCACCGTTGCGTTACCAATGTCGTCAAGGAGATAGAGTCAATATATTGGTCACATGAGGGACTTCAGCAAGCATCAGTCCCACCTATAGTTGTGACTATTAGCAATGACGAGGGCTGTGACATGAGCGAATCAGATTGCGATTATAATTATACTAGAGACAACCCCACTTATGCTTCCATTCCCCGTACCGTTGTGTTGCACGTGCGTGTTTGCGCTGTTGCTCCTACCGGTGTGCCCCCTCCGTTCAAGATGTCAACTTGTACACATCACAACATTATGGATTCTAAAACAACTTTTTACAGTGATGGGAATAAACAAACAGCAGATATTGTTGGGTATTCATTGCCGTGTACCGTATTGACATTTAATGGACTATTCCCGATTTTGAGTTATTTTGCAATTCATCGTTCTCATTTGGAGCCCAACGGACTGTTTTTGTAAAGCAAAGAGGGTGTCACATTTGACACTACAGCAGTACACATTTAGTATAGGGTGAAGAAAGAACCAACATTAAGTGAGAGCCAGGATTGATAATAGAAGCTTACCGGTGTGTGTGTGTGTGTGTGTGTGTGTGTGTGTGTGTGTGTGTGTGTTGTGTGTGTGTGTGTGTGTGTGTGTGTGTGTGTGTGTGTGTGTGTGTGTGTGTGTGTGTGTGTGTGTGTGTGTGTGTGTGTGTGTGTGTGTGTGTGTGTGTGTGTGAGCGATATGTACTTGCGTACGTCTGTCAGTGTGTGTGTGTGTGTGTGATATGTACTTGCGTATGTCCGTCGGTGTGAGTGTGTGTGTGATATGTACTTGCGTATGTCCGTCGGTGTGTGTGTGTACTTGCGTACGTCTGTCAGTGTGTGTGTGTGAGCGATATGTAGTTGCGTATGTCCTTCGGTGTGAGTACTTGCATACGTCTTTCAGTGTGTGTGTGTGTGTGTGTGTGTGTGTGTGTGTGTGTATACTTGCGTACGTCTGTCAGTGTGTGTGTGTATGTGTACTTGCGTACGTCTGTCAGTGTGTGTGTGTGTGTGTACTTGCGTACGTCCGTTGGGGTGTGCGTGTGTATGTGTGCGTCGGCATATAGTGGTGTGCGAGAGTGAGCACATACATACATACATACATACATACATACATACAGACATACATATCTATATATAGATATATATATATATGTATGTGCGTGTGCGTGCGTGCGTGCGTGCAGGTGTGTGTGTGCAGGGTTGCGCATATGTACTCTTCCTTTTCCGAAACGTTTCAAAAACGCAAAGAAATATTCGCGTACACAGGGACGTGACGTTCGACATCTCGTATTGCATCACATCCAAATATGGCTGTCACGGGTTCGTGACTCACGCCATACGGAATACACGGATAACAATTTCTTCCATGTTTACAGTTTGATTTCCCGTCAACAACAGCCAGATGACACACGTACGCCATGGGGTATGATCACGGAAGTTAGAGATAACCATGTGCACGTAGACACGACATTTGAAAATGTGAAATATGGAACTGATAACATTCTTACCATATTAATGGTCAATTTGAACAAAAGCCACCGTCGTATTTCGATGTGCAGAGTTGCGTCCCTTAGACGTTGCAGAACCCTGTGATCGTGGGTTCGTATTCTAGATTCGCGCTGATTATTTCTATGTTTATGAGCTCCGTACCCTTGTTCGTAGGTTGAAGTAAAGTGGTACAATAAACATAAAAGACCATACATTTCACATCCAGTTGACCCTTCGTGATATGATTGAAATATTGTTGGGGGGGGGGGGGGGGGGGGGGGGTAGTTATCCTCGCTCACTTACTCACTCGCTCACCCAGTTACATAATTACCGGTGAGTGAGTATGGTTTTACCCCGCTTTTAGAAATAATCCGGCAATATCATGGCGGGGGACACGAGAAATGGCTGCACACAATGTACCATATGGGGAATCGAACCTGGGTCTTCCGTGTGACTTGCGAACGCTTTAACCACTTGGCAACCCTACCGCCCCTTTAAATTACCAGGTCACGAGGCCTTACCTTAACTGTTTTCTGACAATCTCCTCATGCCAAATTCATAGAAATAATATATGAACCGGACATATACAAAACAATATTGATCGTGCTGAAGAAATGCTCTAAATAACCTGCAAAACGTTTATCAGGTAACCAATGGGCGTAAGGTGAACCGAGGGTGTCAATTTCTGTCAGAGAACGCTCTGGTGTTAGGCGAGATGAGAGAAACAGGATATTCCACGAGACGCATGGAATATATTATTTATTTTATACTTTTTGTGTACTTGTCTACCGAAAATTAAGTTCTTTCATTACAAATGTAAAACCTTGAAACGTAATTTTTCCCTACCTAACACGCAACGATGTTTCTCCACGTTTGCAAAATCTCAACAAATAAAAACAAAAGAAATAAAAAATATTTGAGGTCACTAAAATTATTTATCAAACACTTTGATATGATTATATACAAAATCAAAAAATATTCTTGAAAGCTACGAGCTAACCTGGATCTTCACGGGTCCCATTCGGTTGGTCCCGGAATGGCACGAGTTGGTAACGAAAGGTCTTTCCCGTGAGATCGTCTCAGTGACATTTGGTGTACTGGAAAGGACTTGGTCTTCTTACTGCTTGTTTAAGTTATGACAGGCAGGAGGTTTGTTAAAAACGCGGTATAAGTACCTATTTTTTTAGTGTCATAATCTTGGGGAAATTCTTTCGAATCGACCTGCCCTGTTCGATAAAATCTTTACGCGACCTTATGAGATGCCCGATGCTAATATGCTATTTTCCCCTGAAGCGTCACTTGAAACTTGGTAATATGGGTGGAAAGTAGTTATTTGTAGTGCGGACGAAGGGGCTTTTAGAGGGCATGTAGAGCAATAGAAGCGGTCATAAAATACACCAACTCTACAATCAGTCAGTGAGTGAGTATGGTTTTACGCCTCTTTCAGCACTATTCCGACAATATCACCGCGGGGGACACCAGATATAACCTACATTGCGAATCGAACCCGGGTCTTCGCCGTGACAAGCGAACGCTTTAACCACTAGGATACCCTTCCAGCCCTAAATGGAAGCAAGAGAAAAAATCAAATCACAGACATGCAACGCATTGCCCGGTCGAGTGTAGTGAGTACACAATCACAGAACTTTAACCAACAAGTCTGTCCTTGTCCATGAGTAAGTGAGTGAGTTGAGTTTCACGCCGCTTCATGCCATACTTCAGGCAAGCCACAGCGCATCAGCTTAATGCGGGAAACAAGCCTTAGACGTTTGCTACAGTAACTTAATATCAAGGGATACCGAAGAACACGGGTATGATGCTTATGAACACATAATCATAATTTTACTGAGTGCGGCGTTAAACAAAAAACCAACAACAACATAATCATAATTAAGGCGCATCTGCACCCAAGGGACGCAACTGTGCACAGCGAATAGCAGCGCATCAAGAGACTGAGCCACCATGCCCGCGACATCTAGAATCTTTACGGGTTTCTTGAGATATATAATGTATTGTTCTTTTGTAAGAAATAATTGTCGGGAGCCAAGTTCTTTCAAATTCCGTCTTTGTTCTTTCAGGAATACCCTACGTGTGATTAACGAAAGGGTGATGGGGCAGCACATATAGTGGTTACATTGTTAAGTCACGACAAAGGCTCGATTCGCAAATAAACAGACACGGACACAAATACACATCTACTCACTCAAGGATAGAGGAAAGAACACACTGATCTCTCGCAAGACTTTAAAGTTTATTCAATATATAATTCAAACATGTTACACAACATTTCTCATAGAAAAGAGATTGCTCGCAGTTTCTCAGCTTGTAATGGCCGCGAGAAGCAGTTCAAATTAAGGCGTAACAATACCACAACGAAAGCCAGCCTGGTTCCCTGGGTATGCGGCGCTGACTGGGTTCTTGTCTTCCTAAAGGACAGGTGGTGACCGTTTTCTCATCGGCTGCGATTGGACGACATTAAACAAAGCATTCATTGGAGTAGCGTGAAGTTGTGAAGTAGGTATGTGCTCCAGACAAATAAGAATCAGCAGGGCAGTTTTTATCGCCAAAAACAATCTTTCGTGTTGTGCGTGCGTGCGTGTGTGTGGGAGAAGGAGGTCATGAAGGGTCGAGCGATGGGTCCTAAGGGGTTATATGTTTCATTGGGTTAGAATAGGTCTTCAGCAACCCATGTTGGTCCAGACTCGATTATTTACAGACCGCCGTCATAAGGCTGGAATATTGCTGAGTGCTGCGTCAAACAACAATCAAACAGTCATATGATTCATAACTTGACCTTGCGGTCCATATGCTTCTTTAACAGTGAGTGGTTTGGGTTTATCGCCGCTTTGAGAAGCGTCAAGTGTGTAAGTCTTAGACATTGTCCACAAGGACGAACCAAGGAAAATGGCTAGTACTAACTTTAACCCGATGATTAAAATTATCTGACTTTACTCTCAGAGTTCTGGATCATTTGGTCATGAAACTTTTAATCGATGTTATTAGCAGCATGCAGATGTTTTACGTATCAAAGGTAACCCTCGAGGGATACCACAAGTAACATGTGACAAGTAACATAAATATTACATATGAATTATTACAGCTTCATAACTTCAACATCAGGGCGATCGTTAATTACGAAAATATATTTTTGAGAAAAAATATTCTTTCATAGCCTTCGGATTGGAAAATATAATATTTGAATTATAATTCTTCAACAAGAGCGACTTTTAAACGATTGAGGATAGGGATGGAGGTGAAAAGACAAATAATATTTAGCCAGGCTTCAAAACAAAAACAATCGTCAAGAGTGTGGATGCTGGCAACAACATTTCCATGTTGTTGTGTTAGTCTGAACATGGGTTAGAGGAGCAATCAGATTTAAAAACAACAGCTTCGTTTTGGCGACAGAACTGATAGGCTGCCATCAGCCCCGATTCGATGGCCCCTTGCACCCAGCCGTGAGAATGTGAAAGAGCCTCGCCAGCAAGGTAGACTGGGTGTTCTGCTTCCTGAAGGCACATCATTTGATCGTGTTGGCCGGGGGATTGGCGTATAAATCCCCCACGGGCGTGGACGTTCTTCCCCAAAGAGATCACCACGCCCTCTACAAACTCGTCAACTATCTCGGGATGTATTTTTGCAACTTGTTCCACAGCACTCTCTATGGCTGCTGCATCAGATATCGAGTCAAAGAACACGCTGTCCTGGCCCTTATTATACACTAGGATGACGCCACCCTCGTCGATAGGGGAACCACAGTTACTCTCATCAAGATAATACAGTTGACCTAAAAGGAAAATAAGACATAAAAACGAAACAACTCGTGAGCGAATTCTGAAACCCACGAGTCCTTGAGCCAACCAGAGAGGGTGCCAACTTTCACCCTCTAGGCATCCTGCAGGCCACTCAATTTGCCTTGTCACCCAATTTAAGTGAGTGAGTGACTATGGTTTTTACCCCGCTTTTGGCAATATTCAAGCACGGCGGGGGGACACCAGAAATGGACTTCACACATTGTACCCATGTGAGGAATCGGACCCGGAACGCTTGAACCACTTGGCTTCCCCATCCACTTCAGTGTCATATCAGTATACACAGCTTGTACAAGTGAATCTGAGTGGTCATAAGCCTAGGGATAAATGTTTTATCGATTTGTCTCTCTTTGCAATGAAATAGATAAACATAAATTTCAACATTGAAATAAATATTTCATGGTATCCAGCGTACTTCACTGCAGCATGCGGAACACCATTTACCAAGGATTGGCATCCGGCCAAATGGGGGTTGGCACCCTCATCTGATATCAACTTTATATTTCATGCTTTACCGTTTCTTGATCTTAGCAAATGAACACAATCATTCACAATCACAGAACACAACCATTCATAGTCACAGAACACAACCATTCATAGTCACAGAACACAACCATTCAGATGTAGAAATGACACTTAGGAACGATTGCATGTGTAAAATATACACAACAATAGAACAGCGCGGCTTTATATTAGTATTCAACGAGAACGAATCTTGTATTTTCTCCGCGATCCTGATGTGTATCATCGTTTATTGGGTCATTCATTAAAAGTATGTTGTGAGGCGGTATCAAAGGAGCCGCTCAATGTACACAGTGCCGTCCGTTTCGCGTGAACTACCACCCTACCCTGTCAGTAAGAGTTATGTAATCGGTACACAAATATATTTGGTGCGATGTCAGTGTGGAAGGAGTTTGAATTACGTCCGCCAGTGGCCACAGAAATCCTCAAAGTATAGTACCAATCAACAAGGCCAATGCCGTACTAATAACCTAGTGACTCACGTAACAACGGCTGTCAATATGTCTGCTACAGCTACCATACCATCATCCCTGTCACAACTGGCGTATAAACGGCTTATTCAAAATATTAATTTTAGAAACGTCGTTACCAGACTAACGTACGTCGTATTCAGTCCTCAACTGGATGTTACATTCCTTATATCAGTTAACAGCCCTGTTTGTGAAAATATTTACTAGACATAAGATTTAAAGACTAATAAAATCAATTGTAAGACCGCATAGACAATAAAACCGAATAAAATATGTCTTGGTATCATCTCTTGTGTATTAGATTATGGTAATGACCGGAAATGTTATAACGTTAGATTAAGAAGGAGAAACATTAAAGTGTTTTAAAATACTTGGAAACATGAGCAATAAGATGTAGCAACATAAACATGCATGGAATAGGGAAAACGGTGAAAACAAATTGAAAAGGATTTTAATACAAAATTATCGAACTTAATAACTTGCCTGAACAGAAGGGGTACCCAAACTTGTTTGACAGTTATTCGTGTGTTGTAGACTGTCGAATGGGACTCATGTGTGTACGTAGGTACGTATTTATTGCAAGTTTTAGTACTCATACACTTTCTCTTTTTGTGTTTTGTTTGTTTGTTAGTTGTATAACGCCACACTTAGCAATATTTCAGCTGTATGACGGCGGTCTGTAAATAATCAAGTCTGGACCAGACAATCCAGTGATTGACATCATGTGCATCGATCCACGCAATTGGGATACGATGACATGCGTCAACCAAGTCAGCGAGCCTGACCACCCGATCCCGGTAGTCGCCTCTTACGACAAGCGCTGTCGCCCTTTTACGCCAAGAATGGGTTGTTGAAGATCTTCACGGGTCCATTGAATGCAGGGATTTGTGTAAAGTCATTTCAGACAGCATACAATGCCAACTCAAAAATTATACTCAGTGTCTCCGCAAAGTAATATAGTACGGTACTTAGAGTACATGTGAGATTATACTCAGATTAGGGAGATGTTTAATCCATATAAGGTGTTATTATTCTACCTAACAATGTATGTAATGAAATGAATGCAAAACAAACTCAACGGCTAAAAGGTTTCATTGAAAAACTACCCCTAGTCTTGACTAATAAAACAACTGCAACCCGACACAGATTAAACGCAACTTACAAACACAATCATAATCTGGTTAGTCTGTATCACTCAACGAGGCCGCTTACTCTGCCCACAGTATGACAGTATTGGGCAGCTCAGTAATTAGGAGGTAAAACCAGGCAGGTACGCTGGTCACACTTGACTGGTCTGACTGATGATTAGGTCGTCTGACAATTGGGAGTGAACCATAGCAAGTAGTATCTGCGAAACTATTTGCTCCTTTTATGGGACCGATTAGTTTTATGACCATGGGCCTCGGCACAAGCGTGGTGTTGGAAGACAAGTTATACATGTACATCCGATATGGTGACTGTTTTTCGCTATTCATATTCTAAATACATTCATAATACCACACATTTTAGTACTCCTTGAAACTTTACAATCACTTCAATATGTTCAATAGATTGAACGAGAACACTTGATATATTGCAGATTATTAAATCATTGTCTCTATTATCAGCCGCTACGTTTGTATCGTTTGCATTTTACAAAGAAATATTGTATGTCCTTTTGCAGATTTAGCCTCAGAATGTGCTCATTCGAATTAGGAACGGAAATAATTGCTTATCATGAGTATATATGATACAGTTAAAAGTTACTTGTACACTGTAGACGTATTCACTTTAAAGTCGCATACGACTTTCGCGAGCGAGTTGAATGATCCAGGTTAATTGGAACGAAGTCTAGAAAGGGTTATAAAGTTTTGTATTTGGTAATGTTTAGGTTTGTTAAATATGATTTTTTAAATTCGTTTTATTTCAATATGTAAAAACATAACTATGCGCTTAAAAACAGAGCTGACTTGATGGGAGATAGCCACCTCAGATTGTCTGTTGGACACGGTTTAACCTTACTGTGTCCTCACCCTGGTTGTTTTATTATAGGCATAAAAGTGTAATATATATTTAGATAATTAACAAGTAATTAAAGTTATTAATAAGCATTAAGATACATTCTGATTCTATAAAAGATCAAGAGGGAGAGTTGGGGTCGGTAAGTCGGGAATAGGTATATGTATAATACAGGCAGCTTTGGTTAGTTGAAGACTACGGGAGCATGCCTGGCCACGAGCATCCAGGGACGAGGGCAGTAGGTCGAGGGTTATACATGAACGAAAAATGATTAACAGATGAGGAAATAGATAAAGGGGTAAAATAGAGTTGGGAGGTACGGGAACGTCAGGGACATATATGGTCTGAGGGGGGAAAATAGTCCGAATTCCAAAGGGTGAGGAGTTACATGATAGCAAGTCCGAATAAGGTTCTGGTTATTAGAGAAGAGTGGGGAAGAACGACCTAAGGTAAGGGGGGAAAGGTGTTTGACCAATGAAATAGGAAAAAATGGGTAAAACCTTGACGTAAGCTGGGGGGGGGGTAAAAAGACGGGGAGACCCAAGGTTCGGGGAGACTGGAGGATCCAAATTGAGCACCACGATCTCGACCTTACTCTGAAAAACAATACTCCAGTATTTCGGCCAGGACTGAAGCTTCGCGGCTAAAGTCCATAAACCATCGTGACTAGAAGTTGGTGATCAATCTTATGTGATTGAATAAACAGTCATCGACGAAAGAAAACTCTTTGTGTTCATTGGGAGAACTACGGTAATTTATCCAAGGCCCTCGGGTACTGACATTGTACCTCTCGCAACATCCCAGTCTGTCAGCACCAAGAACGAGGGGATTGCCGTGGTACAGGTGAGGAGGTAACGACAGTTACGCTCCGGTTAATTAACACCAATTAACACCTGTAATTAAGGTGCTAAAAGTACCTTGGATAGTTGTTACCGTTGTTATCAGGGATTAAGAGCTACGGCTCGTTGCATTTTTGGTTACAGTCTGTATCACTAAAGTGGACATGTGCAGGTGAACTCTGTTCAATTAGTATATGAAATGCCCCAAAATGTGAACTCCAGACAATAATAACCTGAGGGTAAATCCACGTGCGTCTGCCTTTCCCCTCGTTCACCTTCGAAATCCTTGATTATTATATCATGCCAGAGTTCTGAAATTCAGTGACAATGTTGCTGAACAGTAGAATCTGATGGACGTTTTGTGCAGAACCTGTTTGACACTATGGGTCCTAGGACCACTAACACTCTGAGCTGAAAAAGTTTGGTCCTAACCGCACCCAACATCTACAAGTTTGTAAGCTTGTAGACATCATTAAGAAGTAATTAACAGTCCCATGCTGAGACCTTTCTCAAAATTCAGGCCGGTGGCAGGCTGCCAACAAAGAGAAGAAAATATCGCAAACCCGACACGAATGTGCTCAGTCAAACAATGAACTTACGACCGGCAGAAAACAACTCCAGTTGAGTATGCCGATGCTGTATCTCAGCCGTGTTGGCCTGAAAATTTAAACATGCTAATTAAATCCAAAATCGTATTTATTTTTAATAGAAACCGTATCTTAATTTGTTCTTGCAATGCATCATATCGTGTATTTCATCTGTATATGTGTAATGTGTATATGTATCAATGACTACGCATATTCTGCAACAGACTATAATTAATCACCTTATTATTGTCTCTACATTTACCATGGCTGACTGCACTAACACCCTTTTAACAGTGGACACCGATATCAGTATACATGTAGGCTTTTTGTTCAAAAAGGAATATGCAGGAAAATATATGTAACACTTAACTGTGTACTAATTATATGTTTGAATGTTATCAGTTTTACGTTCTGAGATACAGTGATGTAAGCATCTTCTACAATTAACAATACATGTATATAATAAAATACAAAACTCTCTGACGTAAATTTTTTGTGGAAATCATTCGATCAAGTAAAAATGACTGCGTGACAAGACGAATCAACTATTTATACCCGA